TTTACTTTTTTGGATTTGGCATCTATAGCTAACCAGCAAGGGAGACTCAATGCTAGCTGCTGCTATCAGAGTTTGGCAAAATTTCAGGGAATAGGTGCCAGGAAGTAGATGCATTACACACATTTAAGAGGTTGAAATGTTTTCATCGGTATATAGGGTTTACATTTTTACAAATGGAGAATGTAAGAATATTTTTAGGTCTACAACACTGATAATCAAAATTAGAATGTTTAAAAGTTCCCTTTTAAGTTCCTGAATCTGATTTAGGAAGTCCGAATTTGAACCTTGAGTTTCAGTCTAGCCCCCTTTATGTATGTATTTTTATTATTTCAAATCTTTAACTGCAAAGTATTTTTTTTCCTGGTCAAAATTGGCTCCCATATATAAACCCTAAAGGCTCTGCATACACATACAGGTGTTCTCAGTTAGCCTGGCTGATTGCACCTTAGAAATGACTCCCTGTTCACTACATAGAATTCAGACCGTGAATGAAATGCACTGAGTGGGTACATTTATCCACATATGCTGAATACAACATATTAGTATTACATGATTTATGATGAGACCCAAATCATGTCAGTATAGTTGTATAGGAACACATGCCAATCAAAATATGAACTCATCAGTAACTTGGTCAAAGGCACTTTGTCTCTAGGTAATAAAAATGTTTTGTGAATTTCACCTGTTAATATTTTCACCATCTGACAGAGGAACAAACATGGCAACCCTCCAGTCACAGAAACAAACCAGAGAAATACACTTTTCAGACTTTTGAAGTCATAGCTTTATTTTGGTGGTTGTACAGACAATAAGATATAGCTGCCTCGGTAAATGAAGGAATATGAAAAACAGAAATCCATTGGTCACTGGTGTAGTGTCCATCTACACCGACTGAATCTAAGGAGACGTTACAGTTGAGAACCAAGACAGTAACCACTTCACATTAAAGATCATGCTGCTGGCTCCCCTCTGAAAACAGGAAGCAGTTTCAGCAGCCTAGAGTCCGTTCAGTGTCTGTAGGCTTCAATGTTTAACAGTGGAGGTAAAGTCACTGTGGACACACTGCATGGTCATGGATCAGACAACTTTAAATACGGTTTAAAATGAAATCATGATGTTTTGACACTTTCAGTTTACATGTCAGTATCAGGATGAAACAGAACTAGAGGGTATTTACAAAATAAAAACAGGATACTTCTATCCCAATGCTTCAATAACAATAATGTGACAGTATTCAGGGTGAGATTATTGGTGCTCTCGTACAGTATGTAATAATTAAAATTAAATTTACTGACAACATGAATGCTGGGTCACTGATCAGGTAATCTCATGATGTCAAAATGACAATTCTTGGAGTCACTGCACTTGTTTTGATATGTAACAACATTTGCATAAACCAAACCAACACAGGTTGAAGCATTAATCAAATAAAAACTTTTTGCAGCGTTTAGTTCAGAAATTAAAGCCTTCTTCGTAAAATATAGCTTTTATACATAACTGCTAAATAAAACCGCAAAACTAGTATAAGTAAGAGGTTAAAATAACAATAATATTAAAAAAGGGTTGTGAAAAAATATAATTATTTGCATTTAAAAAAAAAATTCGCCCTTCACTCAAAGTGCTATGTGGCTCTGGGGGAACCTGAGCACAGAGATACCTCACGACAAATCAGGATCAACTCTCAAACATAAAAAAAGCCATTTAAGGCCTCAAACACACTCATAAAAAAAAAAAAAACACACAACTGCTCGATTCTTACCCTTAAACCGCCGACTTGTTAAACAAAACCATTTAAAGGACAGGAAGGTTAAAAGTAGAAAAAAATACGGCATTAATAATAAAATAATATTAGGTAGAGAACTTAAATGGACCAATAACATTCAGTCAGCTTCAACGATCCCACAGTTTTTCCTAGACTGCCCAGCTTTTGATACAGATTATGGCATCAGATAACACTGACCCGTCCACACACACCACCAGATTCACATTTGGGTGTGGACGAGTTCATGGAATATATCTTTAAATCAATCCCTAAATGTAACGGCAGGTGAGTAACATCTGGATTTTAGTCCGTCACATCAGAGCTCCATTAAACTTAGAACTGAGGTCCTAAAATGTGCTCAACTACAATATATTGGACTTGGTATCATTCTCACTGTGAGACGGGAGAACTGCACACTTCTGAGAGGTGGACGGTGTGAATCAATGTCCGACTAGTTGATGGCAGGGTGCAGCGGCGGGCAGGGTGAGACGTTTTTCTGCTGGGAGCCCTCTGTGTCGTTTATCTGCGCCCCTGGAGTCGCCTCCTCGTTATACAAACACCTAAAACCGTCGTAATACTCATCAGAGTCCCCCTGGTCTCTGCTGCTTCGCCGCCTTTCGTGGCGGTGCGTGGGGCTCCAGGCTCGCTCCTCGTCCTGGATTTGGGCGCTGTCTAAGATGTAGACAGCGTTTGCCGGCAGGGAGAACTCCAGGCTGTGGAGGTACTCGTCTACCATCTCTTTGCAGTGGATGAACTCGGCACTGTCGACCTGGGAGAGTGGAGACATCACAGTGGGTCAGACGCTCCAAGACGGAACTAGATTAAACAACAGTTTACCTTTCAGGAGGAGTGAATATTATTGATTCTGTTATCTGTCAGATTCTTAATTGATTCCTGATTAATTTTCTTTGTGGAAAAAAAGTTGGGCCTTCATAGTTTTTCAGAAATCAACACAAAGGTGACATTAAGCCTGAACACAGTGTAGAAACAGGATAGTTAAAAAAGGCATACATGTGACTTAGGTGTGCAAAAGCTCCACTATTTAACTCTTAGTCTAAGAAAATGTGCTAACCCTACCTTCATGGGTCTAATGTTACCTCGATAATGGACGTGCTGCTTGGCTGAAAAGCAGTGGAACTCCTGCGTAGACTGTCAAACACATGGCATTCCAGACATTTAAGCTAAAGCTAAAAGTAGCAATGTCGTCATATTTCTTAAAGAAAGGAAACCATACTTTGCACTTTCTCGTTGCAAGTTTTTAGCGGCGTAGACATGAGTTTGGCATCAGTTTTGCAATGCACAACTGTCAGAAAAACATGTTGGCATTGATAAAAGGAATCGACGAGCATGGAGGCACACGATTCCAATTTCTAATTGGTTCTCACTTCATATCGTTAATGATTTCTGAGATGATCAGTGTCAACTGTGAAACTCTTCATTGACCTTGACATAAGGTATAAGTACTTTCTTGACAAAGGCAGGTTTGTGCGCTAACATTTTAAGTTGTAGGTTTTGTGCCAAAGTTCACTAAAATATCCGATCCCTCAATTAGTGTCTTCAGTGCAATCGTTACTCTGACCATGTTGGATCTGCAGAAGCAGCCGAATGACTGCTTTCACCAAAACTGTCGTTTTTTTGGCAGTACGGAGTATAACTTTGTTGAGCTGAGTGTGCCTACATGTGCCTTTTTTATCCAAAGCAGTCTCCAAAGTAAAGGCTAATTCTGCACTGCATACGGTGCACGTTCATAAATTGGAAAGGGATATGATCAGGGTTTTAAAAATCACCACGGGACACTAAAGTGCTGCTAGAACACCAAAAACAATGCAATGTTTTCTGAAATACCTCAAATGTGTCTTTGGTATTTCTGTACTGACTTATATTCAGATTCTGATGTTTCTGTAGTAAGCTATAATCAGCCAATATCAGCACACGCCAATGTACTGGTTTGGCTCCAGTACATTTTCCCCATGTGTCTCTAAAGACAGGTAAAGATATCATATGGCCAGCAGAAAGCCTTCCTACCAGGCTGTCATTTCTCTTACTTGTGCTTTCTTCAGCAGATCGGTGAAGACGGAGAACCAGTCGGGCGTTAGCGCCTCCAGCTCCAAAGTGATGATGGCCAAAGCCAACGTGGAGCCCTTGAACTGCCAAAGCTGGTGGCAGGCCATACAGTGCTGCACCTGTCTGGTCCACAACGCCGCCTGGAGGCCCGCGGGCCTTTTCTGATGCCCTGGCTCGGCAGGGAGCGTACCGGGGTCCGTTGCCGAGTCCCAGCTGACGCCGGAGCCGAGCCCGATGGACGGAATGAGGTGAGGGTGGCCGGAGACAAGCAGGGCGTGGAACTAGACCGGAGATGAACAGGGGAAAGTGAAGAGGAACGAGACCAAAATGTTAGCATAATGATGTCGTTGTTGTCCCATTGTTCATCCATCGCTCACCCCTTTACCTCTACTACTTCATAATTCATATCAGCGTCAAATACACCAGTGCATTTAACGTCCGACCATGCATATCTGACAAAATGTCAACACATCATTCATTCCTTTGACCCAATTCTCACCCAGGACACTGTCCCTCTACAGTCTCTACTCTTCAAGCGTTCACTGCTGCGTCAAAAGCTTTGTGCAGGACGACACTTTGAGCGCCAGATAAAATCTCACCATCAGGTTTTGCTAAGCGGAGACCCACCCGTTTGCCTGAGGAATCATAGTAACCTTGTTCGTATTGTATCGTACGTGCAGTGCTTTTCTGTATTCCCATTTGTAGGCAGGAGCTGTACATCACAACCTGAACGGGGGCTCCATGTCACAAGGACGCTTTGAGGTTTAGGGGGAGAATTTCTTCACTCTCTGGTCACATGGTGATTAGAAAACAAGAAGAAACTCACACATCCTTCTGATGTTACTTTATTACAGTCAAATGTCTGTGTTTCTTTCATGTTGTGTTTAGCTCATCCGCTTTAGTTTGTCTCTTACTCTGTAGCAAAACAATAAGCCATGGGGTTTTTAAGGAAAGTGGAATTCACTGGGAGGTCGATTCAGCGATGTGGTGCGAGAGTCAAAAAGTAATCCCAGAAACAGCTGCTCGACTTCTTCAAACCTTCCCTCTTCCTCCTTCAAGTTTTCCTTCTTCGCTCCCAGTATGGAAATGCAGGGAAATCAGGGTGATGTAGCAAACAAGGAAAACTGTTTGTTTAGATTAACAGTCCGAATTCTCAGATGGTGACAGACGTGAGCATCACATGGCTGATTCTGCCTCTCAGAGTTTCACTGGGATGTTGGAGCTTATTGCGAGGTGACGACGAGGCATCTCTGTAAATCCTCTTATCCATTCATATCAAAGTGTCATGGTGGAGAGTCTGTGACAAATTATCGATAGATTTTATTAATTGCTGTTTTATAGACAATAGAGACAATAGAGAATAACACTTTATTTAGGAAAAGGGAATGCAGAGTAATTTCTTCAGGGCCGGGGGAATGTAATTGTGAGATACTTACAGTATTGTTCAGAAGTATTTATTTGAATAGTATAAAGGAGAGAAAATGTCTTTATTTTATTATAGTTTTTATTAATACATTACGTCTCTTTATTTTAAAAGTCTTGGATTTTTGTAATGAAGTGATGCGACAATATTAAATTCACAACAATAACTCCACACGCTGTAAACCTACGACACCAATCTCAGTCCGATTCACAAGCCGTAATACTGTAGTAAGGGGAAAGTGCCATTTTTAGTTTTTGCAGAAGACACTGAATCAGTCCAAACGTGCCAAACTGCTTGTTGGTGACAGGTTATGGTTTGTGGCTTTAAAGAAATCTATCAGTCCTCCACCAATTTCAATATCACAAATCTAACGCTGGTATTTATTTGTTGAGGGAATGTAGGCTGTCCTTTGGTCCGGGATGAGAATACTGTCTCACTGAACACACGACAATACTTCACAATTCAACTCCTGGTGCAAGTGAATCGATATCTTCTAAAATTCACTATCAGATTTATTTTGGAGAAGACGTGTGTCAGAAATTACGGCGTCCACTAAAACCGAGTAAGTTGTTTCTTGGAAGACCCTTTGAATAGTGTGGATCAATACGTGTGTGAAACTATTTCTGTCAAGAATATTATGGGCTGTATTCATAAAGCATTCAACTGCTGGCCTACAACTGGTTCTGCCTCCTCATTTACAGCTGGGTGTAGTATTAAGCTACAGTTTGTTTTACTTAAAAGCACTTTCACTGTGACCCATAAAGCCATGCTGCTAGTGTGGTTTTGTTTTACATGTGTACAGAGTTTACAGTTTAAAGGTCCAGGGGTAGGATTTATTGGGATATATTGGCAGAAATGGAATATACTATAATGTGTTTTCGTTTCCTTAGAATAATGAGCCGTTTATATCTACACAGGGAGCAGGCCCTCATCTACAAAGTTCACCATTTTGCACCACCATGTCTTACAGTAGCCCAGAACAGACAAACCAAACACTGGCTCTAGATAGGGCCATTTGCATCGGCCACTGTAGTTAGCAGCCCCTCCGCAATGACTAGTGTCGTGAAACTGCTTCATTCAGGGTTTTACCGGTTTAAATCACCAGGTCCGTTTGTTTTGTAAAGAAAGAGACCTCTGCGGATAATTCGGCTCCTGGTAAAAACTTTCTGAAAACTGGAACTGAAGTTAGCAAAGAAAAAAGATAAGCACACATTAGCATGTGCTGGGCTATTGGCCTGTCTCAGACATGCCAAGTAGTGTCAAGAGAAACACTGATTTGTTAAGTTAAACTGCTTAATTCGGGGTTTTACCGCTTTTAATCACCAGGGGTCTCATTTATGAAACAGTGTGTAGGATCCATACTAAAAATGTACGTACGGACAAAAGCCAAAAATGGTGCGTGCCAAAAAATATTCAACTTTCTACAATCAAGCTTCCACCCCACCATCTGCGTCGCCAATTTCCCCGTCTCCAAAATGTTAGTAAGCATGGGTTCTCCCAAGTTTCTCCCATCAAGTCTGTTTTTATAAATCACAACTTTTGCGTGGGAAGGAGCGTACGCCTCTTTCAGGCCTTGTTTTGTGCCTACACAGTGTTTATAAATGAGACCCCTGGACCTCTGTGGATAATTCGGCTCCCGGTAACACTGAAGGAAGATGTTGATGAAGATTCTTAGTCATCCCGGTCATGGTAATCTTAAGTGCTACATCGTAGGCAAGTGGACTTGCTTGAGTTTCTTGAAGACGTTTCACCTTTCATCCAACCAGTCCATTAGAGCTGAAGAAGTCTTGGATGAGAGCTGAAACGTCTTCAAGAAACTGAAACAAGTCCAGTTGCCTACGATGTAGCACTTGAAAACAATGAAGGAATTCCAACCACAGGAGGTTTCAGCTGGTTGCAATGTGCAATCCTCACCTCTAGATGCCACTAAATCCCCTAAATCTTACACACTGTTCCTTTTAAATAACCGATTTTAAATACATTTGCCATAATTGTGATACATATATAGATATTCATAGTCACCAAAATTACTCCGCTCTATCTGAAGCCCATCAATATTTGCTTTCCTTGGCAGTGAAGTGTCAGATGTTTAATCACTGCATCCTGGAGGACTTCTTGTTAAAAGCATTATGAATACAGCCCCGGGCCCAACAGCATGACGGGACCTAAATGTCGTTGTGCTTGTTTGTTGACAGTTCAGTCAGTGGTTACCTCTTTAGGCCATGATTTGTGAGGGTTTAACAATTTAACTGCTGTTAACAAGCTGTGAAACAAAATTGTGCCATAAACTCAGTGACACAGCATAGGATTTTTAACAATGGTGAAACCTTGCTTCGACATCAGAAACAGTCAACAGCTCACAGCATGTTGTAGATTCGACCCACTTTGTCTCATGAGGCTTGGGAGCCTAAACGATCTTCTATCTCCCCACACCCCCTCTGGTGGGAGCAGGGTTTGGGTGTCCACTGTAGGGCTGCGGGTAAGTTAGTCAGAAGTGCCTTGGCCTGATATGCAACACGCCTGTTATTTTGCTAGCAGCTTGCAGATGCAGTCTTACGTGGAATATACGGCTCTATTCAGACCTCGTGCTGAAATGTGTCTTTGTAGCTTTTTGTCCACATACACAGATTTCTGGTAATTGGCCTGGGTTACACTCTAACTTGGGTTTGTCCAAAATAGAGTAGGAAATGGATCCTTACTTAGCATTTAAAGGATGGTGTGACACTAACGCAGGGATTTTAGGATTAGCGGTTATTAAAGGCAAGATTTATCCCATCTGTTAGACTAGATGTTTAAAACAATAAAATATCTGTTGCATCACAGCTGAGGTCAGGCAGCATAAAATTATTAGACATTTTATTATATTCACCAACACCTAATTATATTTTAGTCAATTTTATTCTGATTTATTAGAAGACAAATGTAAATCTAACATATCCTCTAATCAGACTGTTTGATTTAGAGAGAAGCATGATTTTATTTTCCCTTCATGCCAACGACGATGATTAAAAAGGGACGGACACACTCCAACCACGACTGAATGGAGTTTATAATAATGGGCACAATGAGTGAAATCACATAAATGCACAATCTCTACCAGGACCAATCTTTACTGAGGGGGCGGGGGGGTTGTGAGGGTTTGTAAAACACCATCTCAGAGCAAAACATGATGCAAGCATGATGGTTTAATGTGTGCTTTTGTACTGCTGTGTTTTTAGGGCAACATCAGGACCAGAGCTGACAAAGCAGTCCAGCCAGCTGACTGTGAGATGCTTTAACAGCTCGGTCCAGTTAAAAAAAACAAAAACAGAAAAAAAAAAAGTTTGCCTGTCTATCTGCTAACTTACTATATGAATGAAGTCGACTGCCGTCGCGGTGTACAAGTCCCAGTGCAGCTTGTCTAGAATGATCCTCTCCATGCGAAGAATCTCCGCTGTTGAAAAGTTGCATCCGCTCTGCACAACCAGGTCTTGAACTGAACCTATTACCTGTTTAAACAGACACCAACAAAAGGGAAGCAAATAAACGTATTGTTTTGAAATAGCATCGACGTGGGTGTTGTTTTTTTCTACAGCTGTTTTTTCTTTTGGGTGGTATTTGTGTCCTGAAGAAGATCTTACCTCGTCCTCCTCGTTGATTTTGGCAGCCAGGACCAGTGAGGTAAAAGCGATGCATTTCAGGTATTTTGGTTGGGCCTAAAGGAAGAACTTAATTAGTTCTTAGAATCCAGACAGAGCTATGAATTTAAAAACAAACATCAGAAATCAACAGACTCTGACTACAAGTAAGTGAACTTGGGAAATGAGAACATGAAAAAGAGAAAGAAAACAAATGCAGCTAATTGTGCATGTTTTTAACAATGGGGAAATTTCCATTATTTCCTTTTATTCTTAAGAAAAAAAAAGAAACAAATATAGATGTGCACAGAAGTTGAAAACTATTATCACATGTTGTAGCCGTCTACCTTGACAGTGGACAGCAGTCGGTGGAGGACACAGACTCCCAGTGCAAAGGTCTCTGGACAGAAATGAAACAGCCGGTTCATCTCTCCGAGCCAAAGGATCACTTCTTGGTGTTGAGATGAAGAGATGTCAGCGCCCTGAGTGATCACACAAGACACTCACTGGTTAATAAATGAAAGATTAAAAAGATCCTAGACTCTGGGGGCCCTGGCAAAGAGAGATATCAAACCCTTGTCCTCACTAAGGATATCCAGCTGTCATACTGTAGCTACAAGGGGCCCCTCTTAGGGGGGTTAGGGGGAAGCAGCGGTGCACAGCTTATTGCCTTTATAGGGGGTTTAAGGGCTCATTTATGCTCAACGTTAGATACGGAGACGAGGACATGCAGAGCCTTGTGTCCAAACTTTGCAAGGATTTTGTTCATCTTTGTGCTCTTTTTCTAAAAGCTTACAAATATGGACAAAACAGAGCAGTGCCACCGGAGTTCGTGGAGGCAGTGTGACGTAGTTCAAGTGAGATACGACTTAAGGAGACAACAAAGAAATTTAAATAATGGCATAATGGAACAAACTGGTATTATAGTGAACGTTTGGATGTATATAATGGCCACATAGACCACCACAATCTACAATGCAGCCTCTGTTTAAAGGTACAATAATACCACTTCATGCCTTCTATTGGCTGTATCTATGCCATCATAAAAGGTCCGAAGCAAGAATGAGGGCAGTGACGTTTGCAACGTTTGAAATGGACGCATCTATTTTTGTACATTAAGGGAGTATAAATGAGCCTTGAGGGAGTTTAAAGTTGACATTGAAAAATGTGCCAGTATGCATCAGAGGCCCCTCTTCCCCTTTTTCTTGTGGACATTTGCCTTTCCTGACAGTGCACCCTGATTAGAAGTCAGGCATTTTTAAAAGCAAACACTTAGCTGTGTTTTGGTTCGGTGAAATTGGCCTTTTGTGCAATATACGCCATTAAAAAGACATAACCAAATCAAGTGAGGCATCTCTAGTATATTATGATACACAGACCTGCACCTTTTACTATTAGTCCCATTTACTCACAGATTTTGTGCTCCTACTTTTACAGAAAGTCACTTTTTAAGAGTTAAAGGAGAGCTGATATAATTCTAAACAAATGAGACCACAGTTGGGCTTTTTATTTCACCTGAGGAACTGTTAGTGTTCCTCAAAATGAAAAAGTTTCCTGTTAATCTTATTGTTTTAGGTCACATAAAACAATCTTGCCTTTTCATTTCACTGAGAGGACCAAGACTGTTTTTCTGTCGGCCTCCATCCCTTTTTGTCGTCATAGAAAACCACAGGCCACCTTAACCAAATATTCTGTTTTAGCTGCCCAGCAAACCAATCTTGCTCTTCATCTACACATCTGAAAATGACTGTAGTATTGATTCACTAACATTAAAATCTGACACAGAGCATCTACAAACAAGCTGTAAAAGCACAGCCCACATGTCTCACCTGGATGCATCCGTTCTTGAAGACAGGTACCTTCCACAGGCGAGCCTCCCTGACCAGAGCAGCCTCCAGCAGGCCGACCAGCCGACGGCTCTCCACAGCTCCTGGGTTTTTCATCGCCTCTCCAGCGCAGGCCAGGCTGCACCCAGGGCACACACACCTGATGGAGGGGAAGAGGAGACAGCAGATAAGAGATCATAATGGAAACTTCCATTATAGTGCACAAATCCTTCATATGAACAAAGAGGTCAAACATTAAAAACATCTGCTCAGTATCTTTATTTTCAAGCCTAATTTCACCTTCATTTCTCTGTGAAAGATGTGAGGAGGATGCATCAGTGTGGCACCGTCCCCTTTTTGGGAGGTAAGTCAAAAGGAGAGGGAAGACAAACAAAGGATCTGAAGGACAGGGAAGTTCTCTGCACAAATTTAGCTCAAAACATCAACTCAAACAGCTCTTTTTAAGTTTCAGACGGGTTTAAACAAGTATCACTGTGCGTGATTCATGGGCTCTGGCCTACAGTTAGTATAATCTGGGTAACAGTTCAACAGACCAACAACCCTCTGCTCACAGAGCCAAGTATGCAGCAGGAAATCGCTCAGTTTGCAAAACAAACATCGCCATTTTTCAGACTTTGCAGGCTGGCAGCGCAGGACTGATTGAGACACTATTGTGAATGCAAACCGTTTCAAAAGCTGCACACATCCAGGCGGGATAATGGGCTGCAGCTGCTGCAGCCTCTTTGCACAGTTGCTCCTGCTGCTGCTGCAGTCAACAACATTTGCCTTCCTATTTTTTTTTTTTGTTATTTTGCTTTGCTCTTACCTCTTCGATTTCAACTGCAGGATATCCCTTCGACGGCAGGTGCATTTATACGGTTTTTCTTTTAGTCCATTTTCACCGAAAGCAGCAAACAAGCAAACAACAGTCGGATGCTGTTAGAGGAGACAATCCCGGGTAAAACGACGTGTTTTCGCGTGAATGTACTGGAAGTAGCCGCATTATATAAAAAGATTAAATAAAACTAGCTGCGATAAAGCGCCAAGTGCTTCAAAATAAGCGAGGCAGAGGCGAAAATAAGCGCAAAACAAGGCAGGAAGCAGAAAATCTAGGATTGAGGGCAAGCTGTGTTTTGAACGCTCCTGGCTCCGCCCCGCCGTGACGTCACTGAGTCTATTAAACAGAAATGTGTTAGTGGGTCAGACATACGGGACCCCTCACACAAAATGGTCGAGCTTTCACTGGAAATGGAAGATTTCTGGACTGACTGTGTGGCCCAGGGATAGCTCATGTTTGTACAAGTGCTGAATTATAACTACAGGAATATTCCGTTTATGTGAATGAGTCCTGCAGCAGCTCTGTCCTACCTGCAACCTGATTATTTCTTTCTCATGCAAGCTGGTGTTTGTAATAAATTAATAGCTTCTAAAGGGAATTTGAATCATGCTAATCCCCCTCATCATTGCAAATATAGCTAACCTTAAAATGGATCATTTCTGGCATCTTATTTTGAGCTTGTTTGACACCTGCTCATTTGTATGCACATTAAAACAACAGCTTTAAAGGGACAGTCCACCCCAAAATTTAAAATACATATTTTGCTTCATACCTGTAGTGCTATTTAACAGTCCAGATTGTTGTGGTGTAAGTTGCCTTATGTTGGAGATATTGGCCATAGAGATGTCTGCCTTCTCTCAGATGTAATGGAACTGAATGGCACTTGGCTTGTGGTGCTCAAATCCCCACAAAACAAACAAACAAAAAATTCAACAGCAATGTCTCTTTCCAGAAATCATGACCCAGTTACTCAAGATAATCCACAGAGCTTGTTGTGAACACTTTTATGTAGGAACGGTTGTCTTTCTACCAAACTGCAGCAGCTAATCGTGTCACTATGCAGAGGGAAGCGTGCATCAACTCATAGATGAAAGGTCCGTGCTTGTGACAGTGTGAGATGTAAACATAATGGCGTCGTCCTCAGCTGAGCTGTAACATTAAAGGTAGGATCTGGAGGATTTTCAAACAAAACAAAATATAGACATATACAAATGAAATCCTGCTTAATCATCACCTGTGGGTTTCTGCTCATGTGTGGTGGTGACTCTGTTTGCAGAGCTCCTGTCCTTTAACTGTATTTTGATGTTTTTGTGAGCTCGGACCGCTTCTGGGCGGAGATTTCCCCAGCCAATGAGAGAGCGCAGGTGCCATGCCGGAGCGTGTCCGAGCGTGCACCAGCGCAAGCCTTGCCTGAACCTCTTCTGTGAAGCCTTCTTCCGTACCTCCAGGCTCCGTACACCCGGGAGAGTTGAGCCTGATAGGAGGGGCCGAATTTGAATGTGTTTACAAACAGCAACTGGAAAATCCTCCAGACCCTACCTTTAACTAGCTCAGTTGTATGAACTAGCAATAATTGCACCCTTTTCTGTGCAGTGATTCGGTTGCCAGGTGTAGTTTGGTAGAAAGAAAATAGTTCCAACATGAAACTGCTCACAACAAAGTCTGTGGATTATCTTGAGTAACCAGATTATGGTTTCTGGCAAGAGACATTGCTGTTGAGTTTTTCAAATGTATTTTTTGAGCACTACAAGCCGAGTGCCATCTAGTTCTACTATATTCAAGAAAAAGCAGACATCTCTACGGCTGATATCTCCAACACTTTGCAACTCACACCAAAACAATCTAGACTAATAAATAGCACTACAGGTAAGAGGAAAAATATATATTTTTCATTTAGGGGTGAACTGTCCCTTTAAAAGACTTCCATGTACTTTATTCCCTTCGGCTGTATGAAAGATTTGGCCATGACACACCCCACACAACCTCACTGCTAGGGCAGGCCAGGTCCTGCAGCCTTGCCTCTGTGTTTGCCTTTGATTTTACTTTTAGGCTTTCTCCACAGCAGACTGTTTGTTTAGTCGCAGGGTGGAAAGCGCAGGTGTAATTAACAACATGAATGATGGCTTTGTTCTATTTACATGTGACGTGCAGATACAGAACACTACTGTTGTCCATGATGACGAACTTTGAATAGAGCGCCATTTGTAAGTCAGAATGTGACTGCCATTAAAAGTCAATTAAAAATAAACCTGATTAAATTAAAATAAAAAAAGTCATACAGATTAGCTTTGCTAGCAGAGTTGGACCTGTGTGACGCTGACCTGTGGCAAAGCTGGACCACTAACCTGACGAACTGAGCAACTGACCCACAAGGTTGGCATATGGTTTGTGGTGATACAATAAATGACTATTTTGTTTGGTTAATAACGATATAAAGTTAAACAATAGGGGCCTCAGTTAAATAAACCAAAGGAAACAGAGACTGTTGCAACCAGCAAATATTTGCTTAAAAACCACACACAATTAATTGCTAATAAACATTGTTAATCATTAATTTTCTACCAATCGACGAATCCATTGATCAATTACAGTAATCCTTTCAGCATTACCCGCAAGACAGACTTATCAACTGGCTGACCAAAGTTGCTATCAACGAACCAGAACCAGATGCACTTGAACTACCCACGGGTATGTATTCAAATGCTGTATTATTCCTACAAATTTTAAACTCTGTTTTTAAAAGTTTACATGTAAATGTGTTCAAAAATGTAGGTCCACTACAGTGGGGACCTGAAGTATGTATACAGTCTATATCAGTGGTTCCCAACTGGTGGGTTGCGGTCCAAAAGTAGGTCGCAGGTCCATTCTGAATGGACCGCAAGTGATTCACAAACACGTTGAGTCTTTATTCTTAAGTACAGTGAATTCCGACACAGAGCTTTTATTTTGAGGTGCCATTTCCTGCTGTAGATCGAGTGACTAATGGACAGCTAGGCTACTTAACAGAGACAGCAACCTAGCTTAACAATATGGCCAAAGGCAAGTATGACACTTAATGTATTCAACCGTGTGGACCTTGAGCCAGTCCCTCCAGAAAAACGCGATTATGTGATCGCATAATTCAACGCATAATCAGCCAAAGTCCGCATATTCATGCGTGGGCCGCATTTTTTCAAAGACGCCGCACTTTCGCGGCATTAATCGCAGATTTCTGCGTAAAATGCGCAAAATAGGCGGGGCTTGCATGATTTCATAATCCTCGCATTTTCGTTGCAAGAGGGGTTTTCCTTGTGAACGCTCTCTGTAATGTACAAACAACTGTTGTGTCTCTCTGAGGCTTGCTGTGTGCGTCACGTAATGAGACAGAGCGCGCACTGGGCAGAGTCGGTGTGATGTTTCTTCTCCTCCTGTGGGGAGGAGGGGAGAAACCTTCCAGTGAAATAACTCTTGACCTAAAAGAGCTGGTTATGATTTTAGGCATGAATGTGGGATTCGGCCTTAGAGTAGCTGCGCTCCCGTCATCTCTGATAACGAGACAAAACGGGGAGACTGAAAGCGCACATAAATCACTCACTCTCTTACGAAGTCAAAGCTAAGAGAAGTGCTGTCTTTAATGACAGTAGTTTGAGAGAGATTTGTGACAGAGGTTCGAAGGGAGGTTCTCCCAGAGCGCGTAACACCAGGGGCAAATCCCACTGCGGTGCCAAAGAGCACGTGACAGGTCTCTGTCGCCTGACTCCTTTCAAAAAGCGCTTAACCAGCAGGTGCGCAAAAACAGATCTCTCTCCATAGCCTTCATGACATAATATATTTTTTATTTATTTATTTTTACATAAATTGTAGCATATTCTAGCTACAGAACTTGTTTGACTCAGCAATGTTTTGTAAGTTTGAGCCATGTGTTTATTAAGGTCTGAAATAAAACAAGATGAGAACTTAAATATTCCCTGCACTTTGTGTGATGTAGTATGCTTGCTTATCATAGGAAGTAATTAGAAATGACTACATTAAGGTAGTAGCCTAGTGAAAACAGGGTGTTGGGGGAATCACTTTTTTCCTCTTTTTCATCAAACCACAGTTTTTGCAAGTTCCCGCAATTTTTACAAGTTCCCGCAATTTCATCGCATGAAATTGCATTAATATCCCACATATTCCATTGCATTTTTTAAGAAAACATGCCACATAATCAAGGACTTTTGCCTGCAACAATCACAAAAAAACTCCGCATTTTTCTGGAGGGACTGTTGAGCTAATGACTAAGGAGAAATCTGGACCCCAGGGCAGAACCAGTTGGGAACCATTGGTCTATATGATGTAACTATACACATAACATCCACACAGAAAATACCATGACCTCATACAAAAAAAATCTATTTGTTTTTCCCTTGCTATCATTCCCTGATAAGAAAAGGAGAATCTGACATATTTTCAGGGCACCACAGTCCTGACGTACACTGTTTGTTTGCACTGCAGTATGATGACCTGCTGCAGGCCCGGTGTCAGGGTGCGTTTAAATGGTACAGATGACTCTGACCCAAAGCAAAGGGGGGAGGCCATGCAAAGGTCTGTCCCCTACTGGTGGTGCTGGAGTGAGATTGTGGATGAGAGGCCTGTTTTGGAAAAATGTACCCCTCTGTTGATACCTCCTTATGGTTGGTTTGACCTGCTGCACCCAGTTTTTCTGAATGTGGGTGTCACAAAGTCAGAAATTTAAAATCACTGCCATCTCAACTGAAACCAGCACCATGAACATAACAAAACAAGTGCCAGGCTGAGATTGCAACACCGGAGGATGTCGCAATCCTCACTCAGTGTTGCTCAGTGACAGTTTTTAAATACACTAGCCTGTTTTCCTTTTTTCTCCCCAAAATCAGTTTGTAGCACAAAGGATCATGGGAATTACAGGACAAAAACACATTCAGTGGAAGATCAAAATTACTTTCACTCAGTCTGATCCAGTTTTTAGTCCAAGTCCAGTCTTTGTCCAAATCAAAGGTCTAAGAGCAGAGGGTGTCATGTGCTGAACAGACTGTAAAGCCCCTTGAGGCAAATTTGTGATTTGTGATATTGGGCTGTATAAATAAAATGGACTTGCTGTACCAGAGACGTGTTAGTGTTGTGCAACAGACTGCTTCATGCCACTTTACACTGACTAACCTTTAGGGATCGGACAGCTTGGCGTACAGAGTGCAGGCTGTGCAGCAGTGCATACATTACATTACAAAGGTTGTTTTGTTTGTGACTTTGTGATTCTACGCCACCAGGAAACCTCAGAAACAAGAGTCAACAAACTTTCCCTAACACCACTAAAAACAGACGTGAGCTGCGGGTGG